GGAAGGAGTGTAATCTGCATGTTCAATGAATAGAAAATCATCATCGTATATATAAATGCATATATGTAATATATAAAAAATATGAAGAAAAATATATGGATTTGTAAAAAATGTAAATGTCTAATTTTGAATTCACTACAGTACTAGGAAAATAACCATTATTAATGATCGAAACGTCTTAATATACTTTATAGATGACTGATCCACATAATCAGAATGGCAGCCGCTAGATCAGCAAAATAAAGCTTATATCAGAGGGAAAATTGCTAAAAATAGAGAAGAATTAACTTAAAGAATGGTTTGATAATGTATGTATTTACTAAATAAAAACACTACGAATAATGTACTTAAAAATAATTGTAAAGAACACAGAAAGATTAAGAGATGTATTTGAGAAACATAAAATAATTTACAATAGACTAGACTTCAAGTAGACATTTCAGACAATTGTCTCATATTTCCTTACTGGAGTAATTTTTCCACTATCGTCTCCTTATATATGTGCAGTAATTACGAGTAATTATTCTTCAGTATAAATAAATAAAATGAAAATGTGTGTTTACTTCATGTTGTGATAATAAAATCAGGAATTTGTGTATTAAACTCCAAAGTTAATTATATTGCTTATAGTTCGTAAAAGAAGAATCATTGCAATACTGTCAGTGATAATCATGTGGACGTTTATATTCTAAAACAAAAACAAACACATCAGTTTGTTGATGAGTATTAATGCCGGTATTTGTGGTGCAGTGGGCGTTTTTATTGAAATGTAAATTCCATTTACGTACTAAATTTACGCACAGAGAAGTGTAATAAATTTTTCCCACTAATTGAAGTAAATGGTAAAATTTTCACATCATTTTTCATTGTGTAGATGCGATTATTGCCAAAAAATTTTTGGATTTCAGCTACAGTCGGGAGAATATTTTGTGTGTGCCCATGTGTCTGCCACTGTGGAAACTCAACCAGTACGACAAACCGAATACATATATTATTTCTACCAGCAGCTAATCAATTTGAAATAAATTTCTTATTATATTGCCGAGTAAGAGGAAAAAAGCAAACTGAAAGGAATAAAACTTTACCACAAATTCTATTTAAACATAAAATTTATTTATTTTTTTTTTCTTGGTTTCTATCATTAATGTTTCATTACGTTCTGGCGATTATAGGTGTGTATAGTTTTTATTATGATCCGCACCCATGTTTAACAATAGGAAAAAAACAGAAACAAGCGATTAAAGAAAGCAAATCGAAAAATATTTTTTGTTCTATTGAAATTTAAATCTTTAATATTTGTTTTTAAGTTACTTGAAAAAAAATTAAATTCCTTAAAATAAAATACAAATCGTATAAATTATATGAAACACAAAACTTTAGTAGCTATCTATTATTAAAATTATTTAGTTATGCTTGTATAAATTTCAAAAATTAAATTTAAAATATTAATTTTATCTGCTCTTAAGTGTTCAAATATTTCACATTTATTCTGTTTTGTGTTAAAACAATGAAGCATGAATCTTATTTTTTTTTTTTACTTTTTTTACATTTAATTTATGCACAATCCGACAATGAAAAGACGGCAATATTCCTTCTAATTTATCTTGGGATAAAATTCACACTTTCAGTGACTTGGTTTCAATGTCTGACTTAGCAAATATTTATGTACATGAATTTCTCTTCTCTTAACACATTTTAACTTTCATTTAAGTTTATAGTTTGCCGGCTTAATGTGAATGCATGCATTCTTAGGTCCTTTCATTCTAACAATGAAAAATTCTAAACATTTTTACTGAAATTTCAGACTTTGGTATGCAGCGATGCAAACATACTTTCAATGTCGTTAAAAATAATTTTTCCTCTCGAAAACTAAAACTTAACAATAACTATGGAACTGGAATGTGTCATACTGTTAGCTGAACGCAAAGATTATTTTTCATGCCTGAAGTTACATAAAATTTTGATTAATTATTTTTAAAATGTTTTTATATTTCTTTCAAATTACCATATTTTACAAGTACTATTATAATTATTAATAATTAGTTCGCGTTAAACATTTCTACAAAAATAATTCTAGTGCAAACAGTCACTTAACAATATAATTATGCTTATTACTAGGAATAAGTGCCTAGCCAAAATTAAAATAATGTAGAATTCACCTACAACATTTATAGTAGACTAGCCCTTAGTCTTTTGAGAAAAATATCGAAAATTTGAAAAACCAACTAGCTAATACTACTCTTACCTAAGTTTACGGACATAGGAACATGAAAGAGAATAAAAAACCGAAAATCGATTAGCTAATATCACTCTTATCTATGTTTCCGGATATAGGAACATGAAAGGGAATAAAAAAACCGAAAATCGATTAGTTAATAACATTCTTACCTAGGTTTCCGGACATAGGAATATGAAAGAAAACACACAACCGAAGGTGTTATCCGGGATCTACTTCTAGCGGTTCCCCTGGATGTCGTCTAGAGAATTTTGTACCTGTAGTTATGTCAGCTAGCTAATAATAAATGAAAGTCGTTTAAATCGTGTAACACTTTATGATCGACCAAACCATTACATAAAAAGCTCAAATCTTGGAAAATCATAGAGAAGGTAAATGGTTGATTTGGTTGGTTTTCGTGGCGATAGAACTTCTTCTTCTGTCTTCTGTACCATTTTGCTACCAAAAACCTGCCCATGATAATTTTTATTTTAAAACTAACGTGCGAGATTGACAAATAAAGCTATTATTTGGTGAGTTATGTTAGGGATGTCCGACAGTTTCATTAGTTTGTTGACTTCCATAGTGGAATGTTTCAATATTGTATGCTATAGACCATTACAAAAAAACTGTTTAGTTGTTTCTTTTTGCTTTACTTTCTTGTTGCCTACAATAATTGCAGTATTGTTATAAGGAATACCCATTGGTGTCCACCGACTAGTGGACTGGACACTACTGCTAGGCAACTCACTGATTACTGGTATATAGGAATCCAAGCATTATATTTATTGCCCATAATATACGTCACTTAAAAAAACAGAAATCAAACATTTCCCCTGTGAATGATCAGCTTAAGTTTCTAAAAGAAAAAATTTTTACGAAAGCAATTTTTTGACAATATGTCATATTATTCATAGGTACGGACGAAATATTAAAAAACATACTTTATTCAATGAAATGCATCTAATTTGAAACTCATTAGGTATACCATAAGGAATTTTATAGGAAATAGATAAATGTACAATCATTTTCAGAAGTGAATGAATATCGGCTGAGCTACCATTGCAACCAATCGACAAGCCAAGATATTTTTCAAACAAATTTGTAGTTTTTATGATTTTCTCTATGCAGCTAGAGAAAATGATATGCAGCTATGGATGAGTTGTCACAATATGAACGATTTTTTCACATTATTTATCATCAAAAAATGCATTTTGGGTATACGAGTATTTGGGTATATTTTTTTTGGTAAGTTCCTGCAGTTCACAAAATTTTTGTATTATGGGTATTTATTCCCAAACCAAATTTAATGCAACATTTTTTAAATTTCGTTAAACGAAAATTTATTTAATCGAGTCTCGGTTACTTTAGATTTCTACTGTATATTATTTCACAATATTTTTTTATTTATTTTTCTTATACTTTTATACAAATCAGTAAAGTAAACTTTTTTTGGTCTTTTTGTTGCTAATTTGTGGATAAAACTCCTTTTTTTTGCTAATGCATACTAAAACCTATTTCTCTTAAATAATTATATGACAATTTATAAAATACTTTATTTAAAAATTATGCTAAATAATTTAATATAATAAAACTCAATTATTATTGAAATATATATTCACAATACTTTAACAAGAAAAGTCGCTAAAGTCAGTACTGGCAAAATAAAATTACGCACTGTGACAATAGAAATAAAATAAAAATTGTTTTAAAAATAACAAAAATATATATAAAGAAAGGTTATTTATATCATGAAGATATATTTTGTAATATATATCAAAAAAACTCAAAGCAAGAAAAATTTCACTTTGATTGAAAATTCTTAATGAAGCATTTTTTGAACTACAATCTGCGTACAAGGTTACCAATCTAAGTGCAAATCTACCTTTGCATTTTGACTTGATGGATAAAAATCACTCATTCAATATTAATGCTATAGGATTATACAACTCTCAACAATGCTATTATGTCAATAAAACTCTGGTAAAATCCGGTATGACACTGTCAATGTCAGTTCGATGATAACTGCTTTGTGAATAGAAATACGCATTTTCAATGCAAATCGATTACGGCAATATGTCAGCAAGGATTTCAATATTGATCGTGTTTTTATGCAAATGAAAACGCAATTATTCAAATATTCAATATGAAGAAGATATCTAAATATGACAATCAACTCTTCTACTTACTTTCACATTAAAATATTATTCAAATAAGACATTTAGCAAAATATGTAAAAAATTAAACTATGAAGAAATAGTGATTTAAATGCATTTTAAAAATACTAATAATAATATTAAAAAAAATTCTCCATTATATATAAAAATCGGAAAATTCATATTTTTATTTTATATATAAAAGAAAGGAATACAAATTTCAATTTTCGAATTATTTGCATTTTTGGCTAAACAAACCGCAGTTTCGGGTATAGCTAAACATTCACCATCAGCGGTTTTTGGAAATATTTATTTTATATTTAATGTTTAATGTTATATATATTTTTCAGTGGCAAGTACCAAACATTATAATCATACATTGCCAAATTAATTTTGTACTCTCAGTTTGGTAAGGTACGAATTCAACACTCGGTACTTGTAGCCTAAAATTTATTTACTAACCATAACCCTTAAAAAAAGTATTTTCAGAGACCACTGCTGAAGGTCATCTAAAAATTCAATTAATTTAAAAATAAAATATTACTGTAATTTACCTATTTTTGTGTTTCTTTTATTTAAAATTTAAATTATTCAAATAAAAATAATAATTCTCATTACTCTTTTAGGAGCTTTTGTAGTTTCAACAAAAGATTCGCCTGCGAAATGGCCTACTCCAGTTTTAAATTTAGAAAACCCTGAGTGATACCTAAATCCAGCATATAAAAGACTACAACTAAAAAAAATTACTCAAATCATCATCTTAAAGTGAAACCAATAAATATGTTTCAGTTTGACATTCCAACCACAACACCAGCAGTAATAGATACTGAACGTCCTGACGTAACACTGACACAACAGGTACACAATGGCGGCTTGAGTGTCTTTGACAGAAAAGGAGAAAATTATTCGGATTTGGCCATAGCAGTGACGCGTTCAGTGGCAGCCACAATTTACGAAATGTGTACTGAGTCGTTGTACAACAACTGCAGTGAAGTCAATGGAACTGCAAACAACACACATCCAATACCGTAAGTCCTAAATTTGTCAGTAGAGGAAAGCAGTAAATAATGTGAAATAAAATAAGGCTTAGAATAAGGAAATTGTGTAGAAAGATAATTTTCGAAGACATTAAATTTAATTCTCGTAATAAAACTGTATAATAAATGTCTACGATACTAAATCCATATTAACAAAATAAATTTAGTAAATAATGGTAAATTTATGGTTTATTAGACATTCAGTTGATTAAACAATTGGTCATTTAATTTCTATACTATGTTACTTTAAGTAAATCTTTTCAATCAATTAATTGAAGTGAAAAAAATTTTAGAATTTTTATTTAATGGTTACGATCATGATTTATGAAGATATGTAATATCTGGAAATATTTTTTTTCTCATTAGAGGTATAATACTGTATTTTAACAGGTTATTGTAGTTTGAATTATCACCAAATTAAAGTAGAAATGTTTTATAATGCAAACTGCAAAATTTATAAAAAAAAAGGGGAGACCTACATTTATACATAAAAAGTTGAAATAGTTGGGTGAATACATAACACCCAATAACGAATTAAACTCAATAATATTTAAGGCAAACATTACTTTATTTAGAAAATAAAACTGAAAATAAAACTTTTAAGAAGAAGCAATAGTTCTTGAGGTCACGGTGCTAAGTCCCTCCTGCAATCATAAAAGTACTATGTTTCCGTCTTTTTCATAGTCACTCTATCTTAATTTATAAAAAAAATTTTAACATACTTGTTTAAAATATTTAGTGTATTCTAGTGTTTAAACATTAAAGCTTAAATCATTTTGCAGCTTTAAGTATAAAATTTAGTAAAAACTTTATTCTGAAGTAATAATTTTCAAGAGCCTAAACAGCATTTTATACAGAGACACATTTAAAAACTTAAGACCATAAACACCTATTAACAAAACTAGAGCAAAATCTTCTCAAAAAGCTTTCAAAACTTCCAAAAACCTTAGATTACAACATCACGAAACTGACTTTTAACTAGAAGTATAATACGCTGCTACTCTTTTGAATGGAAAGAACTGGATAGTGACCTAAAAAGTGTTTAATTGTTTCTTCTATAGCCTCATCAACGTCTATTGCACGTTGTCTAATCCTGGTTAATCATGATACCATTATGAGATTTAACTTACCCTCTAAAGCACCTTAAAGAATCCATCTGGTTTGCACTTCACTTGGGTTTCACTTGATTAAAGTTTCCATTATAGACTTTAATGACAATATTAACCGTAGCTAGCTTAAGAAATATCTCAAAATAGAAAAATTTAATATATGTTGAAGGCACTTAATATAATTGTGCCACTTCAACCTTCAATCTCTACTCCAAATCTTGTCAATCTTAATATGTCGGCTGTAGTTTTGGTAAATTTTGAAAATATAACTCTCTCAGTTGTTCCTTCCTCGCCTTCATCAGCTTATGCACAAGACTTTTCTGAGGGCTCCTCATCTAGTCACATTCATACCAATTAACAACTCAAACAGATTTGATATCGTCATATTTGTAAAGTATTGACTAATTTAAGTTCTATATTTACTACAACTTTATTTTCTGTGAATATTTTTTTTCTAATAATCTTCTTTAAAATATTAAAATCTTTCTTCTGTCTTAATACTCATTCAAATATCTAAACCTATAGAAAATCTTTCAATTAAAATGTATATCCTAAAATCTACTCATTAATTAGCATCATTTGTGCTGGAAGCAAACGTCAGTATTTAGTAACACTCAGTCGGATTCTTTTCAATATTCACATACTGATTCATTCATTGTTCCTTGCTGTATCTTTTTTTTTATTATTCAATTCTTCCGTATCCCGCGTTGCCTCTTTGTCAACAATTTCTCATGCTTTAACCCAATGCAGCTGCAGTATTCTTTTCCATATATTCATTGTGCTACACACAATAGAAGTGGACAACGAATATGTCATCAGCTCGACTGCAATTTGCAAAAGTATCTTCACAAATACGAAAAATTTATGAATTAGTGATGCTGGGGTCATCGTATTTGTGTCCGTGTGAGTGCAAATGAATTGTGTCACGTTTGACAAGACAATGGAGAACATGAAAATGTACAACTCATAAGGCCAAGTAGTGAGAAAAAACTAAAAACTGAACATTGTAAACAAAATTGTTGACAAATAACAGACATCAAGCACATAAGAGAAAAAAAGATATTTCAAAATAATTAGATATCTACAAAATTCTATTAACTTCATTTAATTGAAATTGATACGAAACATTTTTCTGTAGCTTAAATTTTCTTGTCAATTCTTAAACAGAAAATCAAATTAGAATTAAAATGATTGTTAATTGCATCTCTTAGCAGCATGGACCAAAAATTTATTCTTGTTTTAAAGCACTTTAGTATTTAATGTATTATTACCATTTTATAATATATTCCTCAAACACCGTCAATGGTTTGAGGAATGTGTTTTCATTTTGCCAAGAGCTCTCTGATCCCTATCGTTTACTTATTATTTACATTTATCATTTACATTTCCTATAAATTCCCTGGCCATCTAGGATGCAGAGATTTAGTATAGTTAAACATATATTGCTCATCTACTAATCATCGGAGTATATATATGTAACAGATTGAGTAAGACCCATTATTTGGTGGCCCTAATAAACTTAGCTCTTTCAAAAATTGGTAAATTTCATATTCTACTATTTGGTTTGACAATTTCGGCAAGCTCTGACTGTTGTATCCTGGAAAACTACTTTCTTCCAACTCACCTACCTAAAACACCATAATTATAAAAGTAATACGCCGAACTTTCAATCACCATGAAGTCATTTTATTTCGGATTATTGTTATTTTGTTTTCAGAAAGTCCTTTTCAGTATTTTCCACAAGATAAAAAATTATCAAATGAAAGTAGTATTACATTTTTACATTTTTAATTTTGATCGACCGTTACTAAATACAATACCCACTTTGTTAACAAATTTTTCAGGACTAATTATATTTATTAATTATCTTTATAAAATGTAATTCATATATTATTTTATACACTAACAGAGCCCACAATCTCTTGCAACTTTAAGTTTATTCAAAATAATTTCGTAAATAATCTGATTTTTTTTGAAATAAAAGTTTTTGATTCTTCAGAACGTTTCTCATTATCAGTATTATATTATCGTATTTAAATTAATTTTAAGTTCATTCAAATTATTTTTGGTTATATTTAGTAATTTCTTAAGATAACTACCTTTGACTCTGCACGCGTTCCACAGCTATTTATAAAACAGAAAGGCATATATTAAAATAAATTTTTTTTTAAAAAAAATCTGTGAAATATATGTGAACTCATATTTAATTCATGTTTTGTAAAAGCAGATATTGAGATAAATAATGTTGGAAATAATAAAATATAATTACATAATTAAAAATATAAGATTCATTAACAGAAATTTTGATTATTAAGCAATCCTTTTGCATTAGGTTTTTTACTCAGCATATTTCAATAAAAATTTCTATTGTCTACCGTACGGTCAATTGTTTTGTGAATGTGTGTAAAATTTAATACTGTTAATTACCGCAATACCATATCTCATCTGTTTGTGTTATATTATATAACACAATAGTTATTAACACCATACATACCGAACCGCAACTGTTTAGCAGTACCTTAAATTGCTATATAATGAATAACCACAATTGTATACTCGAACGCTGATTAAAATTGATTTTAATAGACTCCATATCTACATGTTAAAATACATATTTTTTAATAAGCTTTTATATGTTAAATAGTTTAATATACTTATTTAAGCTGTGAATATGTAGAATAACATTTTTCTGTACAAATTATTTGCGTGCAACGTAGCGTATGAGTAACAATTTAAGTAGTACTCATTTTATTTATTTTAAAAATTTTTTAAATATTTTAATTTTAGAAATTTTTTTACTAAGTGATATGTATATATCATTTTAAGTTATATGAAAAAAAATTTAAAAGAATAAAAATTTCATGTTGATTTAATAAAATTACTTTCTATATAAAAATAAGCTTATGTACGCTTGTGGGGAAAAATTGTATATTCTTCCTAAATTTAAAAAATCTTCTTAAATATTTAATTATAAGTTATTTGTTTAAGAGTAATTCAGTGTCTTTCTTAACTTTTATTATAGTTACAAGTTTAATGTTTGATTTAATATTCAGCTAAAACTACAATATTTAATATATCATTTACAATATTTACAATATATTTGATATTTAACTATAAGTTTTTTGTTTAAGAGTAAATTTCTTGCTCTCTTCATTTTTATTATAGTTAAAAGTTTAATATTTGATTTAATATTCAACTAAAACTAAATTTAAAATTGTATATATCAAAACTATATATATCGTAAATTTATTGCATATAATATTAGAGTACAACTTCACTTTTAATTGCATATTCCTTCATAAAAAGTGAATCTAAATTTTGATAAAGTCAAAAAAAATATTAAAATAAATTAACTGCAATTTTAATTTTTATTGTAAAACGTTTGCAAAATATTATAAATTTGTCTCATTTGCAAAAACGGTTCTACTATTGTTCTCATTGTTTTCACACAAAAGTAATAAATCATGAATATTGTTTAAATGTTGTTTTTAAAAGTTAACAAACTTATTCTTTTACTAATTTTTATTCTTTACTTTTTCGCTTTTTTTATTGTTTAATGCTGTTTTGTTCACAGCAAATATTGTTACATTCGTCCTTTAGTGTTGTTGATGTTGGTTTCGTATTTATATGGCTTATACCATTAATATTATATCCTCCACAGCTATGCAAATATTGTGTGTAAACGCTGCATATTTATATACACTTTAGTGAACACATGAACTGAAGGAAAGGCCATGAACGTTTACGATTACATTTACAAAAAAATTTTTTTTCCATTTACAGAATTCATGGTAGTGTCCTTTTACATATTTATAAAGAATAACTCTCATAGTCTAGCAGATACTCATAAAAATACAACATTATCACTAATTTGCTTTTTGGCATTGTTTTCTTTTATTGTTTACATTTTAGCGCCGATGACATATCCTTTATTCTGCCATGGTGGCGACAAGTGCTCTGGAATATACTCTTTGTTGGGATGGTTATTGTCGCAACTGGCGGTAATTTAATTGTGGTTTGGATTGTGTTAACAACAAAGCGAATGCGTACTGTAACGAATTATTTTATAGGTGAGTTTTCATAAAAATTTTGGTCTTAAAAAATGTTTACACTTTTATGCGGAAATTTAGATTTTCACAAAGTGATTGTATTTACCGCAAAAAAAAATAAAAATAAAAATATTAAACTTGTTATTTTTACAAAGTAAAAAGTGTATAAATTAACTAAGAAGCAAAGGATATGAGGTTGAATTTTTAGAGCGTGAAAAAAGTGGTAGAGTTATTAAAAATTTCTCTTAAATTTTGCAAAAATAAAATATAATTTTAAAAAAATTTAAATATTTTGTGTTATGGGCTCAGTAAAATTACTTATTAGCTAATAATATAAAAAGAATTTTCATTATAAATTTTTTTTTTATTCAGTTTAAAAATATTTCGTAAACTTTTTTAATTAAAATATTTGGCTGAATAAGTTTTGTATTTCTGTTCTCTTTTGGTTTTTGCTTTAATTACAGTAAATCTTTCCATTGCTGATGCCATGGTATCCAGTTTGAATGTAACTTTCAATTACATTTACATGTTGGACAACGACTGGCCATTCGGAGAGCTTTACTGTAAAATTTCACAGTTCATAGCAACATTAAGTATAAGTGCATCAGTGTTTACGTTAATGGCGATCTCAATTGACAGGTGAGTGTCAAAATGGATAATGGAATAAAATCAATCTATAAAAAATTACTTAAATTATATAGTATATTTTTTTATCTTCACCTTCACCTACTAATAACAAACTTAACTCTACACATTTTTTTTTTATTTTAGTTTGTAAACGACTATTTTCCAAATTAATCCTTTGCTTACTTATTTACAGATATATTGCAATCATGAAACCATTGCAACCACGTATGAGCAAGCGTTGCAATTTAGCTATTGCTGCAGTTATATGGATTGTTTCTGCGATAATATCCTGTCCAATGTTGCTGTTTTTCACTACAGGCGAAACAACTTCACAAGATGGTATACGCACTGTTTGTTATACTGAATGGCCTGATGGCCCAACAAATCACTCCGAACTGGAGTACATGTAAGTATTTGTAAATGCAATTAAAATGTACTACAAAGGAGTTGTAAATTTCCATGCTGTCATAATTGCACTCTTCATTATTTTTAAATGCTTTGTGATATTTGATATATATAAATAAATTTTCCCAATTTATTTACGTGCATAATTACAAGAAATTGAGTAATTAAAATATTACTGCATTATAACAATATTACTATTTTACAAACAATTAAAATAATTTTAAAGAACTTTGTTCTTATGAATTGACTTTATTATTTCATTTCAATGGAAACGAATTAAAACTATAATTATATCAAAATATATGTAAAATCATTTTTAAGTAATTTTGCACTATAAATACTGAACTTAAATAATAAGAGAAGAAATTTTAAAGTATTTAACAACACAAAGGATTGACTACTTTAAATTTATTTTGAAATTTGGAGCAGTTAAAGAAATTATTTTGTACGAACTTAAACAATTCTAACAGACGAAATTCATATCCGTAAATGAAATTCACTTGAACTTTCAAAATTAATTCATTTAGAGAGCATTTACAATAGAAAATATTTTATTTCTAATAAAAAATTTAACTAATTTAAAATATTAATCATTTGCGAATCACATCAGAACCGATACGACCGTTTGCAGCAACTCTTATTTCGATTGTGGTGACTGATCACATAAACGAGATCTACAAACGAAAAACAGTTGATAAATTTTCCCTTTGTCGAAAACGAAATAATTTTCTAAGAGTGCGTAACGCCTTCGTAATACTTAGCGTTTTCTAGGCGGAAATATTTGCAATTGGTGAACCATGTAAAATGTTATCATCGGAGAGAATTCATTCAAAAATGACATTGTTATATTATAAGATAGACAAACTGCATTCCTAGCTTTGTAGTCAACCACAACAATCTCCTACTTAATGTGATAAAGCAAAGTGAAATTAACCGCCCTAAAATCAACGACAAAATGTTTCTCTGATATGGGTCATGAAATATTAGAACTCTAATTTATGTTTAATAACTTTAAACGTGGCTATTTTCCTTGAACTGTCAAGGAAAGATAAACTCTTGCATAACCTATGCCGAAGACATTAAATGTGGTTAATATCATACATCATTCAAATACGAATTGTAGATCAAAAAATCTTATAACATGTAAGACTAGTACGACATAATTGCCGAATTGCAACCTTAAGAAAAACGTATGGCTAATAAAAAGAAATAGAAAGGATCTCTCTGGACTGATGGCTGACTTCGGGTATATTGAATAACAGGTGACCAGTTTCACAATATTTACTATTACAACTGCAGTTAAACAGACAAACACAAATCTTGTTCTAGAGGAAGGGTATATTATCCTAAGTCGCTCTTTAATAATCTTAGGTAGCTAGCAGAAGTTAATATTAACGGACTTTTGAGGTACCTTACCTACACAGACTAAATCTAAGCGTGCTGCCTACAAAAAGCAAAAAAAAACAATCAGTTGGTTATGAGAATATTGCAATACAATGGTAAATCACGGAGAGATTTCAACTAAACCAAGATTGATGTCAGATTGTCTCTAACATATAATAATTTAATTGAATATAGAAGTAAGGTATGTAGGTAGTATACTTGACTTCAATTTAAATATTATTTATACAACGTACTTAAAAAAATGCATGTTGTTATAAAAGTTTTGTCTCTAGTTTTGAAAAAGAACGTTCAGCTGAATATCACAAAAAACAAAAAATTTCTATGTTTAGAGAGAAATTTCCATGTTTACTTCGAAAAGTAGTGAACTACAACAACAAAAAATCTTTTTATATTATTTTAATTAATTGAATTTTTGGGTAACAATGCAGCTGTTTCGAGTATGACCAAATACTCATCATCAGTGGTCTATGTTTTCTATGTTTATTTAAAATTATCTTCCATGCGCACTTTTTTATGATATCTTTGTGGTATGGACCGTTAAGGTCCATATATATTGAAAGATTGTTTTATGTTTTTTATGTTATATGCTGTTATGCTGTTATACAAAATAAATTGCTAAAAATATTTTCCTGTTTTCCCCAAAATTATTCAATGCACTGCTTTCGTACACAATCATAACTCAAACTTGGAAGCAAATATATCTGTTAAGTTATCAATACAAGCCAAAATGTAGAATTAAAGAATTTAATAACATTCAAGCATTTCCGTAGAATAAAGACTTCTGTTTAGTTGCAAAGTGTATGTGAGATCAGATCAAACAGATAACTTCAAACTAAAACGAAAAATTACAGATTTAAGTTACATCAATTAAGAAAGATGCTTACAAATTATATAAAATTAAACCGGTTACTTAAAATAAGTTGAACACTGGCTACATGCATGACTGCAGTGAAGGGCTTGCTTCGGAACCTATATGTATTTAATTTACTAGGACAAAACTTATATGATATGACTCCATTATTTTTACAATGATAGAATAATTACAATAAAATCAATATAATATAGAATATTATAATATAATTTTTTTTTAATAAAAGTAAAGCATTCTACAATTTAATGGTTTTAATTTTGTAAAGGTATATGTTTTTTACTACATTCATTTTCCCTTAAAATATTATTTTTTGCGTAAAATAAAATTGTTTTGAAATTTTGAGAAGCTAGATGAGGGTATTATTGTGAAGTTGTTGTGTGGAGTAAAGCTGGTTTCTGTCTTAAAAAATTACTGTCTTAAATTTAAGAGTCAACACCCCATCCTTACTGTTTACAATCGTTTTTATTCGTAACTATTTTTTCTAAACTACTGAATTCCTTTTACTTGTAAACAATAATCTTTTTTCTTGCTGGAGGTATCCTTTCTTTATTTTTAAGTTTAATTTTATTTATCTTTATTGTCTCTTTTGGGAATTTACATACTTTTAAATATTTTTAAGGTTTGCCTTTTTTGTCTCTAAAGGACTGTGAAAATAATAAATATTTTCCTATCACAAAGTTAAATTTTATTCTCAATTTCTATTCCATATTTTTTACTTGTAAAAAACAACGTTACAACCGAGAGTAATTAACATAAAAATATAAAACTGTCTAAACCATTTGAGATTTCGTTTTCATTTTTTAGCAAAAGGATAATATCTTGAGAAATACATTAAATTTTATGGTAAACATTAAATTTTAAAGCCCCAACTAATCTAATGAGTAGAGAGTATAGGTTGTTAATATATTGCACATTAAATGCATACAGAATGAATATGTTTAGTATGAGTATTAAAATAAGATACAGAAGATACAGAAAACAAGATACAAATACAATATGACCTCGATTAATGCAACCCTCGAATATCGCAACTCCTCGGTTATTCCAACCTCTTAAATTTTTTCCTGTATTACCTTTGATATTGCAATCATAAGAATTCGCGAACACACTATCGGTGCATAGGAATATTATGAAATCATGAAATTGTTTCAGATTTTCTTTCTCGATAAGAAATGGATGAGTGGATCAACGAATATTCTATGGAAAATGTGTCACTCCCAGAACAAGTTAACATCGATTAAGACTCAGATACTGAGTCTGTAATTACACTTTAAATTAAAAATGGCGTGGCAATAAATCCACTTAACACATGCATACAATGGGCTAAGGAAAATTCCATAGCTCTTACAGAAGTTGTAATACTTAAAGATCTAAAAAATGGGGCAGTTACAATGAATCTTAATTGCAATAAAAAGCCAACTGAAATAACAAATTATTATCATAAAGTATGATTGCAATTATCTTGTTATAAATAAAAATAAGTAATCATATTATTTTCTAATAAACTTCGTGTTAATGTGTCTTTATTTGATTTAAAAATTTTAGACGCACTAAATAAACTAAAACTCGATTATTGCAACATCCTCGAATTCTATTAGTTGCATTAATCAAGGTTACTGTCTTATACAGTAATAAGACATATAAAAATTGTAAAATAATTTTAAAAATATTGAACTGCTTATCTCTGAGCATGATTTCTGGTCTGATGCAAAGTTTATAACAGAGTGACAAGTCAAGGAGGCATTTCAATGGAATTTAAATTAAAAAAAAATCTAGTTATTCAAAATAAGACTTCTCGTCATAAGTAAAGTTTATGATAGAGTGGCAAGTCAAGGAGCGGTTTCTATAAAATTTAAATTAAAATAAATTTGTGGTAGTTGACTATCTGTAAATGCGACATCTGGTCTGATAAAAAGTTTATAATATAGTGACAAGGCAACAGCTGCTAACATGAAATTTTAAGTAGCAAAAACATCAAACTAAGTGTCTTTAAATATCTGATGTGATACAAAATTTATAAGTGAATGACAAGTCAAGAACTGCTTCTTGTTAGAACTATAAATTGATAAAATCTGAAAGCACATGTAAATGTTTTTCTTCTACCAAGTAACCACTTACTCTCTCATTGAATGTACTTTACATTTCCTTGGTACTTTACTGTACTTCAACTACGTTATGCAAATTTGACGTATACGTGCATTTTACAGTGCACCAGAACATAAAGTTGCTGGTATCAATCGAACATAAAAACTTTTACAACTGAAATCAAACACTATTTTCTGTGGAAAGATACTGCCATGAATATTTGATTTGTAAATGTGTCAAGCACTTGAGTACATTGCAAATTTTCCATTTCTTCTCTTCTTTTCAAAATCGGTTTAAATGCAATACAAGAAAGTACCATAAACCGAAAGCGTGTTAAAAATTAAAATAGGTTCTCTGTACTTAATATCAAAATCGACGAAGAAATATGCATTTCAAAAGCATTATTTCATCTTTGTTTAAATTATTTCGATTTCCAATATCCTTTAAATATTTAACATATTTGTTTTCTACTTTTATAGCTATAATATTCTATTCATGATATTGACATACTTTTTGCCGATCATATCAATGACAGTCACCTACTCACGTGTAGGCATTGAACTTTGGGGCTCGAAAGCTATTGGTGAATATACCCCACGACAAGTCGAAAATGTGAAGGGGAAACGTAGGGTAAGTTTTATAAAACGTTTTTTTACTTTTTTCGAAAAAAATTATCTTTTAAATATATTAAAACTTTAAATTACTAAGATACAAATTTATTATATCATATAATTTTTCCTTTTTTAGGTTGTGAAAATGATGATGGTTGTGGTATTGATATTCGCTGTTTGTTGGCTACCGTTTCATGCTTATTTCATTGTAACATCCTGCTATCCAGGAATTACTAAAGCACCTTATATACAAGAATTGTACTTAGCTATATACTGGTTAGCCATGAGTAATTCTATGTACAATCCTATTATTTACTGTTGGATGAATTCAAGGTGAGTTTAGCTTATTTTCAAATCTAGTTGTCTTATGTATTAAATTTTGTCAAATGAAACTAAATTACTAAATAAATTAAGTTACTAAATTAAATTAAGTTTTATTTTAAAATTTTAATGCGGATTTGATATAATAAAATATATAAAATTTATTACTAAGTATTTAGATAGCAATTTAATTTTACAATAAATAATAAATAATCAAAAGCCACCTCTTCTATTGTTATATAGTATATGTAATGCAAACTTATTTATTATAATTTGGATGGGAAATAAATATCCACCCACTTGTGTGTATGTAGTTTATTATACATGTTGTGTCAAAAGCATTTGAAATGACTAAATGAAACAATAAGAAATCATTAATATATTGGAATTTTGTCCCATCAAGTGCAAAATAGCTATCCCATCACTTGACCCAATACGTTATATATTTTTCGTCGGCTGATTGATTGTATTCTTCTTTAACAGCCATAACCGAATTGAAAGGCTATTCTTGAAATTATTAATTAAGTTTCAGAAACCAAATTCAAATAATTTTGAAGTCACTTCTAAACGGTCATAAACGACTCGAAAGGCTTTTCTTGAAATAATTAATTAAACTTCAGAAACCAAATGCAAATAATTTTAAAGTCACTTTACATGAGTTAAAGTCAAACACATTGTTTACCAACTAATGTTATCTGTTACGCATATTGAAGCGAAGATAGAACTTAGGACCTTAAGATTAGTGTATTACGGTTCCACTCATTATGCCAAAAAGGCCTTCGATAGTTCAGTAATTATAGGGCGGACTGTGGAATGTAAAACTAATACCGAAATCTTTAGAATGCATTTCAAATTAATAATTCAAGATTCAGGATATATATGTGATTAACCTATTGAATATAAAATAGTCTGCCTATTTATCTATCTGTCTATCCATTTGTCTGACTATCTAACTATCTACCTGTCTATCTCTCTTTCTATCTGTCTGTCTATCTATCTGTCTATCTGTGTGTCTGTCTATTTGTTTGTGTTTCAATTTACTCAGTTTTCAAAATAGTCAAATGAAACATTGTTAAGCAATACTTTTACAATCAACACAATTCAAATCAATCAATGGATTAATTAATTTGACTGGATCATATATGTATTGAGATATAACTTGGTGACCAAGAAAAGGTACTACACATAGACTCTATTAGATTCCTATTGATTTCAGTTAGAAATTAGTCAGTTAAAATTTTATAAAGTTTATTTTCTTTAGATAGATTAGTATTAATATGATTAATACTTTATGGGTACGAACATTACCTATTCCTGACACTGCGTTTATTTATGGATTATTGTATTCTGTCCTATCTATAATTTGCTAAGAATTCCAAAACCAAAAAAGATTTAATCTTCACAAGTTCGATATAAGACTAAACTAATTTACGGTTAAATCCTTAAATTAAATAAGGGTGTTTTTGTGTCTTCCATATATGGTCTGTTGTGCTTATTTAGACGACAGTGTCCAGTCATCATCCCAATCATTGTTTTTAAATCCGATCTTTTTGAAATTAGATAATATTTGTTCGCATTTTTGAGTAGTTCGGGCATTATAGTTTAATAGGTACAATGGGAGTCGATTCAGTTAGACCACTTGTGGGATAGCTTTATTGATGAAACCTCAGATATATGGCATTATTAGTAATGTTTAATGTCTCGGAGATCGCTTTTTCACTGGCTTGGACGAGATAACGAAAGTAAACTTATCGGATCTCCTTAACTTCATCTGGAAAACCAAATGACTTAACAAGAATCATAAAGGTTAGCAACTCGCCTCTGCCGGCAATATTTTTTGAGGGCATCACAATGGGCAAAATATCCCTCCAAGTGGAAGTGCTGACAATTGGCAGCACGCGCCTTCCGAACCTAACCTAACCTAGTAATGTTTACAAATATTTAAACCAAGTTGATGCATATGAATATGCATATAATAGCATTAATATATCACTAAGATATATCACTAATATATGAGCAGTTTGATTGCTTTGAATTAATTGTATAAAGTTTTATTTACTGTAGTGAATTTATATTAATAAGTGAATATTAATAAAATATATAATTGTATATTAGTCATAACATTATACATACATGTATAATAATTCACTGCAAATATGTTTTTAAAAAAAATTTATAGCAAAATACTATTTGCAACAGCAAAGTAAAGTTTCTGTGACTATTTATTTTTCTTATCCCCTCATGCAATAAATCTACAAATACCAAATTTAAAATCAAAGATACTTCATATGGAGCTTAAAGAGTTTCTAAAAATGAAAATATTAAAAAATATTTTTATTAAATCAACCACAATGTAATAAACTCAAATGCACACATATTTAAAATCCAACATGAGATGTGTATAAATTTCAAAACCCTTTAAAGCCCAGCCAGCTTGAAGGTTCTTTCTTTTACACAAAAATGAAAGCTTTTACACAATAAATGGTTAGGCGACATGCCGCAACTGCAACTACAGGAAATGAAAATGTGTGGCAACACAAACTCAAAAACTAATACAAATAAATTCAAACAAAAAAAGAAAATTGTGGCAAGCTGGCGGGTGACGGTGCAAAATTTAACACAAGAAACCGTAAAATGATGCAGAAGTTTATTTTTTATTTCGTGCGTGCCTTCACTTATGTACCTTAAAATGAATCTCAGTTATACGGAAAAACTAGAAGAACACCCCATAACCACAATGACATAGTAGGAATGTCAACTAGTATTACTCTGAGTTTTTTACTTTTCCAAAACTGTAGTTTTGAACTTACACTACTTATGACTACAGCATACACTTTATCAAACTTATGAATAGTTTTTTTTTTAATTTTGCAAAAATATTATTATATATTTTCTAGTGTGTTTAGTTAATTAATTTTAGTTTATATTTTCTACTTTTTATTAATTTTGTACTCACATACGTTAAACTAATTACAGCATTTATCACGCTTTCAGATTTCGTTATGGCTTCAAGTTGTTTTTCCGCTGGTGTCCGTTTGTCCATTTGGGCGCTGAAAATTTGAATCGACGCGATAATTTGACCTCACGTTACTCCTGTTCCGGTTCACCAGATCATAATCGTATCAAGCGAAATGGTAAATGTACATATCGAAACATCAACACTTCCATAAAATGTTCTTACAATTTTCCAAATTAATAAAGTAAATATGTTTCATTTACTTACAGACACACAACGATCTTTTCTATCCACATGTCCAGGTTCGCCGAAAAGTCGACGCATATCACATTGTGGTAAGTTAAATTTTTATTAAATATATTTTAAGTAAAAATGTTTTATTTTATTTTAAATTTTATATAAAAAAAAATGTATTTTAAATTTATTTTATATTTTAAAATACTATAAATATATTTTATGTTTATATTTATATTATATTTATATTTTAAATCTATTTTAAATATATCTTAAATTCATTTTAAATATATTTTAAATTACTTTAAATATATTTTAAATATATTTCCATTAAATGTACACTTCAGTTTAGTTCAGCCGTTAAAATACTTTACTTTTATATTGAAAGAAAATTATTTAAAATTTATTTTCTATTTTAAAATATTTTAAATATATTTTAAATATATTTTAAATATATTTTAAATCTATTTTAAATTCATTTAAATATATTTTAAATGTATTTTAAATTCATTTTAAATATATTTTGAATCTATTTTAAATTCATTTTAAATGAACACTTCAATTCTTCATTAAATGGACACTTCAGTTTAGTGCAGCCGTAAAAATGCTTTACTTTTATATTAAAAGAGAAAAATATTTAAAATTTATTTTATATTTTAAATATATTTTAAGAATATTTTAAATCTATTTTAAATTCATTTTAAATCTATTTTAAATTCAGCCATAAAAATGCCTTACTTTTATATTGAAAGAAAAATATTTAAAATTTTTTTTTTTATTTTAAAATATTATAAATATATTTTAAATATATTTTGAATATATTTTAAATATATTTTGAATATATTTTAAATATATTTTGAATTCATTTGAAATCTATTTTAAATTAATTTTAAATATATTTTCCATTAAATGTACACTTTAGTTTAGTTCAGTTGTAAAAATGCTTTACTTTTATATTGAAAGAAAAATATTTAAAATTTATTTTTTATTTTAAAATATTATAAATATATTTTAAACACATTTTATGTGTATATAATTATTTTAAATTTATATTTTAAATCTATTTTGAATATATTTCAAATACAATTTAAATATATATTAAATATATATATTTTAAATCTGTTTTAAATATATTTTAAAACTATTTTAAATACGTTTTAAACATGTTTTAAATATATCTTAAATATATTTTAAATTCATTTTAAATATATTTTTCATTAAATGTACGCTTCGGTTTAGTTCAGCCATAAAAATGGCTTACTTTTATATTGAAAGAAAAATATTTAAAATTTATTCTTAAATCATTTTACACTTCAATTACTTAGAGGATAAAATGAATGCTTTTAAAATTTTCCAAGAAAAAAATATTATAAAATTTTTTTTACAATAAAAATAAAACAAAGTAGTATATTAATAATAAAAAAAAAATATTAAACTATTTTTAATATTTTTTCTTTTTTTTGTATTATGTTATTATAGTATTTTTCTCGATGTGCTTTACTACAATATGGCCAAAAGCGTTAATAACCCTGAAGCAGACAATGAATTAAGCAACTTATTACTTTCTTACTTATGCCATTTATTTGTTCTAACCAAAAGGATATGTTGAAATGTAACAAACGATTTTGCTTTATCTGAACACGTCTGACTGATTCTTAACATCTTTTTCACCCAAAATCTGTGTGGTCTTTATTCCTGTTTGCCTTGCAACAAATTAAACGTTAATATCCGTTTATGGCGTTTATGGCGTTTATTGCCCTCCTAACTGCTAATAGCTTTTCTGGCTGGCTGGCTTAAAAATATTTAAATAACGTGCACCGGAGGTTATTTTCAAAATTAATTTCAGATTTGATGATTATGACATAAATTCAACCGTAATTCATCTTTGAAATGGGTTACTTTCTTAACGACGAGCAACGCTAGAATGTTGAAAGGGATTAAAAAGGATAAGAAAAAAGAATTTTTTGTGGGAATAAAATTAAGTGAGGTATTTTATACTTAAGATGTATTAACAAAGTATTAAAGAAATTGAAATTTTAAACTGGTTGTTAGGAAAGCACGAACTATGCCATAGTTATGATGTACTATATAAATAAAAATAAAAATTTTTTTTAAAATATTATTTTAGACTGAACATTAAATGAGTTGAAGCAGAAATAAACTATAATACTATTAATATTATTGGTATTATGGGTTCAATGTACGAATGTGGAAAGGAATGGGATTAGCTTTTAGTGAGACTCAATTTTACAAGCTTAAAAGATAATTATATCATCACAAGTTAAATTAAGTAAGGAAAGGGTGTATTGAAATAAAAACTAAGTAGATTAGGAAATAGTATGAGTTAATGAAGAGATAATGAAAAGATAATAGAAGATAATATTCTCTTTAAATAAGCTATTTTATACTATATTTAATTTTAAATAATACATTTCTAAGGTTACCGGTAATTTAATAAATTTCAAAAATTGTTGTATAATAAACGAACTAAAATTCCTGGCTTTGGCGTCCAAAATATATAGGTTTTTAAGAAGATACTTCTTTGATAGTTTATCAGCCTGACTTATTAAGACTTATTAA